ACTGGAGCCATACTCCGCTGTACTACAGGCCTTCACAGTGCCATCACTGGACCGGCAGCAAGAAATGCACATTCTCAGGCCCAACCCAGACTTACTGAACCAGAAATTCCGGCAGGATTTCCCAGTGCTTAGTATTTTTTTTTTAATGTTTATTTTTGAGAGAGAGAGAGAGAGAGAGAGAGAGAGCGAGCACAAGTGGGGGAGGAGGAGACACAGAAGTCAAAGCAGGCTCCAGGCTCTGGGCTGGCAGCACAAAACTCCATGCGGGGTTTGAACTCACGAACTGAGAGATCATGGCCTGAGCAGAAGGCTGATGCTTAAGGGGCTGAGCCACCCAGGCACCCCCCACCCCTCACCCCAGAGTTTAATATTTTAATGAGCTCTCTGGGTGATTCTGGTGCAAGCTAAGTTTGAGAATCGCTGTACTGCATTACCTCAGGTTCCACATCTGCAGTTCAGGGAAAATTACAATGCCCATCTCATAAGACTGAGCCCATTATCTGCTAACACATATGCTTGGTGTGTACCCTGTGCCAGGCATCCTTCTAAGCCCTTTAAAAATAATAACTGATTTATGGGGCGCCTGGGTGGCTCAGTCGGTTAAGCATCCGACTTCGGCTCATGTCACGATCTCGCGGTCCGTGAGTTCGAGCCCTGCGTCGGGCTCTAGGCTGATGGCTCAGAGCCTGGAGCTTGCTTCTGATTCCGTGTCTCCTTCTCTCTCTGCCCCTCCCCTATTCATGCTCTGTCTCTCTCTGTCTCAAAAATAAATAAAATGTTAAAAAAATAATAATAACTGATTTAATTGCAGGACCCCCTGAAATAGGAACGAATAGCATCCTCATCACACCGAGGAGGAAATGGAAGCACAGAGAGGTAAAGTTACTTGGCTAGGGTCCCCAGCTAGTAAGTGGCAGAGCTCTGGAATCTAAGCTCCTCACAGGTAACCAACAGGAAGTCTCCAGCAGAGGGTCTGGCTCCCAGAATGTGTTCCAGGCACGGCTGAGGATATGATGATGGCAGTTGCTATTACCTCACCTGAAGCTGAGATGATGAAACGCATTTTGGAAACGTACAATCTGCTCTCTCGTCAAGAGGGAAAAATGAGTTAGCCGCAAGCAGCCTCAGTGTCTAAGACCCAAGGGCGGCCCACGGGCCCTCACCATTCACGCAGTTTTCAAACCACAATATACTATCTTGGTCTTCTGGAAACGTCCCAGTTTGCTGCAGGGAAGAGCGTGGGCTAGAACCTTAGTTTGGCCACTCAGGGGCTGTGTGACCTTGTACCGGTCACCTCACCTGTCTGCACCTGCTTTTCTTCATCTGTGAAGTAGATGGTGACAGTTTTAGCCTTGCAGGGTTCCTGTGAGGGTTGTGCCCTGCCCAGAGCATGCACGGAGCTGGCCATCAAAACGAGGCTTGCCCGCTCTCTTTCCCCCTCCCTGGGGCTACCTCCGTGGAAAGACCGGTTCTGGACCCAGAAAAAACTTGAAAGAAGAAATAACTTCCCAAGTGCTCAAAATGCATTTATCCTCCAGCCTCCCTGCCCCTTTCCAGATCTTGAAATAGCCACCCCAGCCAGGGGTTCTGGGGAGAAACACTGGCACCTGCTGCATCCAGGCAGGGAGTTAAGTAACCTGTAAAGGGAAGAGTGTCCCCTGCGTGCCACCGCCATTGGTCAGGCCTCCGCAATCACCGCGAGCATCTGAGCGTCCGCCTGCGGTGACGCATTTTGGCCCAGACATCTGAAGCTCATTAGCTGCCTGCCCCCCGGGGGACTGACCCTGCTTGGTGAGAATTATCCCAGAGCCACAGAGGATGGAGCAAACGAAGACCAGGTGAGGTGTGGCTACAAAAGGGGGGAGCATAGTCTCCTAAGCGGCCTCTGGGGACCCCTGAAGAGTGGAGGAGACCGGGAGAAAGCCCCGGGGCTGGGCCCAGCTCCAGCCCAGCCACCAGCTCCCTGGCTGCGTAAACCAGAGACATGGGGTGGCAGGGGGGTCCCTCTCCCTCTTGGGGCCTCAGTTTCCCCATGTGTACTTTAGAGGAGGGGTGATCAAGGCACACACTGAGGGCCTTCCAGGCTGACACTGTGGGGTCCCAGCCTGACTTAGAATTCCTGGCCTCTGAGGTTTAGCCCAGTGCTGACAGGAGGTGAGTGATGGGTGGTGGGCGGGAAGATAACTCAGGAATGGAGAACCAGTGATTCCTCCCTTGGCCCCAGACAGCAGAGGGGAGTTGGCAGGGAAAAACCAGAAAGTGATGCTGCATTTTAGAACAGCCAGCTGGGTGCCCTCTCGGTGCCCATGGGTGGCAGAGATGGTGTGAGTCTCCAACTGGGCAGATGGCGGGGGTCAAGGCGGGGGAGCCCACCCTGCCATCAAGATAGGCCACAGTTAACTTTCACCTAGCAGTTTTGATTGGCTCCTTATTTTATGCCAAGCACTATTGTAAAAACACTGTGCACATATTAAAATCATTTGACCCTTTCACTGGTGGCAGGTCCTGAGTGATTGACCAGCCTAGAGTCTGACCCTCACCTGGCCAGTCCTGACATTGACCTTTTTCAAGGCACCCAGAGAGGTCAAACAGACTGGCCCTCACCACGTCGCTCAAGATCAATACCTCCTCCCCTCGCTGTTAAAACTGACACGGGAGAGTCTCCTTTGCCGCTGACAGGAGTGCTCTTGTCCCTCCCCAGTCTCCTTCCCTCCTGGCAGCCGAGCCTCTGGGAAACTGTTGCCTGCTGGGCCCGGAATATGACCAAAGGGGCGAGGAGGACTAGTACAGAGGGTGGTTCACACGGGTTTGGTGAAGCCTGATGAACCGTTTTCACTCTGACCGGAGAGGCCCTCTGTGGGGACCTGGATGGGCATGTCCCTCAGACAGCGACTCTGACTTACTGGACAGCATGGCCAAAGTGGGCTTCTCTGAATTTTGACTTTTCTCTGGACACCTCATACCTGGGTGGCTGTGTTCTTTCTTTGGGTGGCTCAGTATCGCGGATGACCAGGCTAGACAGCTGTGTCCTGAGTCAGGGAGACTTTTTTTTTTTCGACGTTTATTTATTTTTGGGACAGAGAGAGACAGAGCATGAACGGGGGAGGGGCAGAGAGAGAGGGAGACACAGAATCGGAAACAGGCTCCAGGCTCTGAGCCATCAGCCCAGAGCCTGACGCGGGGCTCGAACTCACGGACCGCGAGATCGTGACCTGGCTGAAGTCGGACGCTTAACCGACTGCGCCACCCAGGCGCCCCTCAGGGAGACTTTTTGATTCATTTGCCTCTCATGGGGCAACCTTATTACTGGCATTTCTAAGAAAAGCCTTAGAGAGAGGCAGGCACCCACCCAAGTTCACACAACCAGTCAGGACTGGGGCAACCGTGGATTCCCAGACCATTTTCTTTTTTAATTTTTTTTTAACGTTTTTTATTTATTTTTGAGACAGAGAGAGACAGAGCATGAACAGGGGAGGGTCAGAGAGAGGGAGACACAGAATCAGAAACAGGCTCCAGGCTCTGAGCTGTCAGCACAGAGCCCGACGCGGGGCTCGAATTCACAGACCTCGAGATCATGACCTGAACCGAAGTCGGCCGCTCAACCGACTGAGCCACCCAGGCGCCCCTCCCAGACCACTTTCAATTAAATAGTTTATCACTTTCAAATATGAAAAAATGAATTCTCTCAGTGCAAAAAAAAAATTAGAAAATACCGTAAGCAAAAGCCAAATACCTTTAGTTTGTTTCTCTGAGAAACTTCCATTACCCGTTCCCATCCCTTCTCTCTCTCTCCCTGGGGGCTCAGCCACACTCCCCCAGCCCCAGCCATAATCAATACCTCATCTCCTTTTGCCAACAGCTGTTCCCTGAGGAATAAGCCTTGACAGCAGATCCTGGAAGACAGCCTCAGACTGGAGGCTGGGAAGGCCTGGCGTCTCTTCCGGAACAGCACAGCTTCCGCCCAAATGGAACTGTTTAAATGCAGGATATAGCGGGGAATACTCCCGGCTAGAAGCCCAGAGCCTGCAACCAGCCCTGCCCGGTCTGTGGATCAACTGAGCGACCTTGGGCCGGTCCCTGCCCTCTCAGTTTCTCCCACTGTAAAATGAAGACTTGAACTTGACCGAGCGTTTCCCCCACGGCCTTTATCAGTCGGTCAGCTTGTTGTGGGCAAAGACCGTGCCCTCTCCTTATAAGTGGACCATAGAATTTAGAGCCAGAGGACAGGGCTCCAGCTCCCCGTTACTCCCTAGCTGTGTGACCGTGCACGGGGCACCACACCACTCTGTGCTCTGCTCCCCCATAGAAAAACACAGGTCAGAGTGCTTGTCCTCTGTGTGTCCCACGGCTGTCATAGATCCCGCGAGAGGTGGACCTTACAGACCTGTGAGCAACACAGGGCGAGATGCTCTGCTGGGGTGTTACTCCAGGGTACCCCCTGCTTGCCCAGTGCCTGGCTCCATCCTGGCTCAGGGGGTCTGGCCCAGGCTTGTAGATGGAGTCTGTGCCTGCCCGCGGGCACACGGAGCTCTGGCAAGAGGAGTGTGTGGACCCTGGGCCCGGCCCACCGTATGAAGTGTCAGTAACGTTGCCCAGAGGGCCTCGGGGCCCATGACATCATGGACAGCGGTTTCCATGTTGGAGCTCACAGAGCTAAGGCCATTTTAAAAAAAAATAGCACTGCCTTTTTTCCTTTCTTTCTTTTTCCACTTTGGCTATGACATGGAATGTGAGAGCAGCTAAACTATTGCGGGAAGGAGAAGAGGCTGGGTTCATAGACTGACTCTGCTTTCTGGGGTCCTAAAAACAATGCCAAACCTGGGAGGTCCGGCCCCTGCTTCCTCATGCCTGCCTTGACCCCACTCCAGGCTGCCCTGACGGGACCAGGGGGGTGGACAGTCATGGTCTGCCTCTGGTTCCCAGGTAACCTTTCTGGACCTCAGCTTGCCATTTGTTATGGACTGGATGTTCATGCTCACACCCGCCGCCCCAGATTCCGATGTTGGGTTCCTATTCCCCAGTGCCGCCCACGACGGTTTGATGGTATTTGAGGTAGGGCCTTTGGTAGATAATTAGATGAGGGCATGAAGGTGGGGTTCCCATGACGAGATTAGCGTCTTTATAAGAGGCAGAGACATCAGAGCCCACTTTCTCTGTCTCTCTCCCTGCGTGTGCACCAATAGGTTGTGTGAAGACACAGTGAGATGGTGGCCATCTGCAAGCTGGGAGGTGAGCCCTCAGCAAGAACCAATCTGTCAGCACCTTGATCTGGGACTTCCCAGCATCCAGAACTGTGAGGCGTAGATGTCTGCTGTTTAGGCCATCCAGTCTACGGTATTTTGTTCCAGCAGCCTGAGTGGACTGAGGCGCATCTATGAAACAAGGAAAATAATCCCTCCCCTAACTATCGCTGATGAGAATAATGCAACAATAGCTAACCATTTATTTTGTCACGCGTTCATTCGGTCACTATTTCTGGAACACCTATGAAACGGGCACCGTTGAGGAGCTGGGGTGCAGCAGCGAGCAAAGCAGACAGAAACCCCTGCTCTCATGGAGCTGAATTCTAGTCTGCGCAGACAGACAGTAACCAGAGAAAGAAGTGGGGGATACAGTATGGCCGATGGATGGCAGTGAGCGCTGAGGAGGAAAAGCCGGCCTGGAGGGAGGATCAGAGTGCCAGGAGGGAGGGGCAGGGTGCACTCTGATATAGGGTGGTCTGGACAGGTGGCCCTGAGAAGGGGATGGGAGGAGGAGAAGGAGATGGGCCGTGTGCTCACTTCCCCGGCTATGGAAAGACACCGACTCTTGTGGGAAGCAGCGTACAAGTGTGAAATGATCTCTAGGTATGTCTCCTGTGCCCCCAGAGCCCTCAGCTCCATTCTGGGCGCGGGCAGGGCTCTGAAGCGTTAAAGGCATAGCTATCGAGGGTACAGTCTCATTCTCCCTGTTAGATGCAACGTAATAGGCCTTTGCTAAACAGCTCTTCTGTGTCAGACACCGGAGGATGCCTGGGGGTGCCAGAGAGAACCCAGACATGCTGCCTAACGAAGCAGACTGAGTGTCAGGAGGCTTGGGCTCCGGGCCTGGCCCTGCTGCTGGCTGACGATAGGACCTTAGATAGGGGACCACCCTCTCTGGGCCTCAGTTGGGGATGGCGGTTTCTTTTTGGGGTGATGAAAATGTTCTAAAATTAGATAGTGGTCCCGGTTGCACAACTTTGTGAGCATACTAGAATCCACTGAATTGCACATTTAAATTTTTATTTATTTATTTATTTAGTTAGTTAGTTTTGAGCATGAGCGGGGGGAGGGGCAGAAAGAGAGGCAGACAGAGGATCCGGAGCAGGCTCTGCACTGACAGCAGAGCCCGATGTGGGGCTCGAACCCACGAACCATGAGATCATGACCTGAGCCAAAGTCAGACACGTAAACAACCGAGCCACCCAGGCGCCCCTAATCGACTGAACTGCACATTTAAAAAAACAACAGCAAAGGTGGGGTGCCTGGGTGGCTTAGTCCGTTGAGCATCCAACGCTTGCTTTTGGCCCAGGCCATGATCCCAAAGTTGTGGGATTGAGCCCCGCATCGAGCCCTGTGTCGGGCTCCACACTGAGCATGGAGGCTGCTTAAGATTCTCTCTCCCCCTCTGCCACCATCCCCTGCCTCTATAAATAAATAAATAAATAAATAAATAAATAAATAAATATACTTAAGAATAAATTAAAAAGAAAACAAAAAACAACAAAAGAAAGATGGTTGGTTGGACAAGATGATTTCTAAAAGAAGGAACGCCAGTATTTTTGGGGCCTACAATACCCCAGGGCCAGGACTCAGCCCGTTATCTCACAGTATCTAGAGTTCCCTCTGGTTCCGACTTCTCGTGATCCATCACGATGGTATTCACACTGCGATCGCTCATCAGTAAGTCCAACTTGGGCCCCTCCTTTGGGCCTAAAGCTAGTCTAGAGTCCGGGGAAGGGGAGGGCCGGGGGTGCTGTCTCTCCCCTACAGAGCTCAGAGCCTGTGGAAGAAATCAGAAGTGCACCTTGTACCCAAGAGGTTGTTTTTTTTTTTTTTTTTTTTAGGACTAGCTCCTTCCTTTCCTTTCCATGTATAGGGAAGAACCCCAAATTACACGATGGCACACAACCAGGTGGCCGTACTGGGGGCCCTGGGAGTTGATTTATTCACCGTTACACTGGGGCCTTTGGCTAGAGTGTCCAGGATACAACAGTGGGTGAGTCAGACCCAGCCCTGCCCTTAGGAAGGGAGACAGACTTTTAAGCAACCAAATACATAATTAAGAATTTCTTTCATGCCTGTGATTGTCATCGGTGCTGTGGAGGAAAATACACGATATATTGAAGGCACCGGTGTGGCTTCAGCTGAGTTCTGAAGGCGAGTAGAAACAATGAAGGGGTGTGGAGAGGTGGTGATGGCATAGGGCGGGCTGTTCCAGGCAATGCCAAGGCCCTACGTGTCTGCAGAGGAAGGCCAGTGTGCACGAAGAGGGTGGGGGGCAGGGGGGCCGGCCACAGGCACAGGCCAGGCCCAGCCACACAGGACCCTCGAGGCTGGGTACCCTATATACCTGTGTCTGTATGCTTGTTGTCCCTACTCACTCCCAGCTGTCCCGGTCCAGAGAATAAACTACAGCCACCCTACTTATGGGCCCCACTCAGGCGTTTGTGCAAAGAACAACCAGTGTTCCAGGAAGGCCCGGTCATTGCTTCCTCCCTCGCGGCCTCCAAGCCTGCGGCTCTGCACGTCCGGGAGCAAGGGCCTGCCAGCCTGAGCAGCCTCGGTGGTTATTTGAGCTGGATGATGTGTGAAGAACCCTGCTTGGCAGCCCCCTGGCCATCCGGCCACGCTGCCCTCCTCCTGGGCAGACCCTGCACCCCCACCTCCCCCCACGCCGGCCCGCCAGTTTCCCCCACTTCACTATCTTGAGGTGAGAGCTTTTCCACCAGGTCTCAGGCCAAGCATGGTTCTTGGCTCCAGGTTCGGTGAGCCGGTTTCCGGCCATCCCCGCCCTCTGCTGCTCCCCGAGGACCCGCTCCAGGCCTCGGCTGCGGCCTCGTGCTCTTTCCACTCTCGTTTTTTCTTTTTCGCTCTGTGTGACTTTCCCCGAGCCGGGCCTCTTTCTATCTTGCCTTTTTTTTTTTTCTCCCTTTTCTCTAGGGTAGCGAGGGCATTAAGGGAAAAGCATGAACTTTAGGAGAGATGGAACAGGGTTCAAATCCTAGCTCTGTCACCTGCTGGCTGTGTGATCTTGGGCAGATGTATCCTTCTCTGTGAGTCAGCTGCGGGTTCTATGAATGGGGACGATCCTCCTGTTTCTCTGGGTGGTTGTGAGCGGAGAGGAAGTTCACAGAATGCCTCCGGGGGAATAGGAGGTAGTTGACAAATGGTAGTTTCCTTTTCCCTTCCTTTTGCACATTCCTCTCCCTGAGCTTCTGCGGGTTTTGCTCACTTAAGCACAAAGTAAGAAACAAAGCCTCACCCCCCCCCCCCACCCATCGCTAGACCCCAACCACCTTGCTCTCTCTCGCACAGCCCCACCACACCCAGACTGAGTGCAGCCAACAGTGCCAGGACACGTGTGGCCTGCTCGCTGCTAGCCCCGTGGCCGAGAGGCCTTGCTGGATGTCCTGGCTGGGACTCTCTGCTATGGGATTCCCGACGGGGACATGGGAGGTGTCTTCTGAGCTATGCTATGACGCAGGCACCAGAGTCTTTTGGTTTTTCACCAACCTAAGGACAAGAGAGGCAGCCTTTCAACATCCCCTCACTCCTTGCACACTTCTCGCTGCTCCCCCTCCCCATCACACCTTGCACTTTCTAGCTTCCAAACCATTGCTTGTGTCCCCAACCCCGCCTGGAACCGCCCTTCTGCTTCCTCCCTCTCATTTTGAGCCTTATACTAGCTCTGGGACTTAGATGTGACAGAAGAGGAAACGGAGGCTCAGGGGTACCTAGATGTTGGTATTTTTTACAGTGAGAATGTGTTCAGGGGTGCCTGGCTGGATCAGAGTTCAAGCCCCATATTGGGCATGGAGCCTACTTAAAAAAATATATAAAAACTGAAAAGAGAGAATGTGTTCAGGACAACATATTGTGCTATTTCTTGAAAGACAAAGTGAAGTAGTTTGCCTGGGGTTATACTGGATCTGGTCCATGGGATTTCACGGTTTTCATTTGTTCTCCCCCCTCTGCCACACTCTCTGTCACAGTTGTGACTATAAGGACCTTACTGTAACTTACTGCTTGGATGTCATTTAAAAAAAGGTAATTATGTAAATAAACCCATAGATTTATGGTCAATTAATTTATTATTTTTTTAATTATATAGAGAGAGCATGAGTTGGGGAGAGGGGCATAGGGAGAGAGAGAGAGAGAGAAAGAGAGAGAATTGGAAGAAAGCTCCACTCTCAGCATGGAGCCTGATGCAGGGCTCGATCCCACGACCCTGGGATCGTGATCCCAGCTGAAATCGAGAGTTGGGTGCTCAACCAACTGAGCCACCCAGGCGCCCCCTATGGTTAATTTTTGACAGGAGAGCCAAGACAATTCAATGGGGAAAGAATAACCTTTTTAATAAATGGTGCTGAGACAACTGGATACCCACACACAAAATCCCCTACCTCACACCATATACAAAGACTAACTCAAAATGGATCACGGATCTAAATAAGAGCTAAAGCTAGAAAGCTCTTAGAAAAACACGTTGGTGTGCATCTTTGTGGCCTTGGATAAGACAATAATTTCTTAGTTATGACACAAAAAACATGAGCAACCAAAGGAAAAAATAGAAACTGGACTTCATAATAGTTAAAAAATTTTGCGCTTCAAAGGACACTATCAAGAAAGTGGAAAGACAACCTAAATAATGGGAGAGAATACTTGCAAAAGAGTATGTGGTAAAGATAAACATCCTAGTATCCTGTACACATTAAAGAACTCCTATAACTCAACAATAATTTTTTTAAAAAGATAATCCGATTTTTTTGATGAGCAAAAGATTTGGATAAACATTTCTCCAAAGGGGATATACAAATAGCCAGCGAGTACAGGAAAAGATGCTCAACACCATCAGCCACTGAGGAAATGCACATCACAACCACAATGAAATACCACTTCACATCCACTAGGATGTCCAAAATACAAAAGACAGAAAATAATAAGTGCTGGGGAGGATGTAAATTAGAACCTTCATACACTGCTGGAAGAAATGTAAAATGGTGCAGCCACTGTGGGAAGCAATTTGGCAATGCACCAAAAGTCATATAGAGTTACCATATAATCCAGCAATTCTACTCCTCTGCATATATGCAAGAGACTTGAAAGCATATATTTCATACAAAGCTTGTACATGACCATTCAGAGCAGCGTTATTTATAATAGCCAAAAAGTGGAAGCAACCCAAGTGTCCACCAACTGACGAATGGACAAACAAAATAGGGTATTCCATGCAGTGAACTATTATCCAGTTATAAGAAGAAATGAAGAAATACTGATATAGGCTAAAACATGGATGAACTTGAAAATGAACTTGAGATGTCTAGAACAGGAAAATCTATAGCAACAAAAAGGAAATTAGCAGTTGCTATGGGCTGAGGCATTGAGTGGAATGGGGAGTGATAGGTGTGGGGTTTCTTCGTGGGCTGATGGAAATGTTCTGAAATTAGAAAGCGGTGATGGCTGCACAAATTTGTGAATGTACTAAACACCATTGAACGGTACACTTTAAAAGGGTGCGTGTGTATCTCGATCATGTATTTTTGTTTTTAAGTGGAGGGGACCTTGCAGAACACTTAACCCAATATCCACCTCCCACCCCCACCCCTGCCCATATGAAAGGTAGGGAAGTTATAGCCCAGAGAGGGGAAGAATCACACAGCAAGTCTCAAATAGAGTAGGTATAGAACGCAGAACTATATTCACTCCCACCCCTCCCGCCCAGACACTTAGTTCCTGGAGGACAAGAGCTTTTATTAATCTTTTATTACATTTTTATTAAAGTGTGCATAGCACATCGCAGAAGTAATAGTCGGGACGGCTCCTGTTGCAAGAGTCTAGAGAAAGATCTAATTCCAATGAGCCTAAGGAACACGGATCCACGGGCCCACACACCTGGGAGGGACAAGGGTGTGCTTGTGAACTCAAATGACCTCCCCTACGCCCCTGCCTGTTTCTTCTCTTCCTTCCTCCTTCTCCTTGTCTTCCTCACAAGGCTGGAAGCTCTGGGGAATCACACCTTTAGAGCTTTCATTCCAAACGGGAGCTAACTGCTTTCTCCCAGAACCCATTTGTGCAAGCTGAGGACAACAGCTCGGTTTGGTCTAGTTGGGTCATATAATATGGCTAGGAAGATGGAATTCTCCAGAAGGCCAGGCCTTCTAGCAGGCTACTGGTCTCTGTGACCGCTCCCTAGAAACTCAGAAAGTAGGAGGATGGCAGGGGAGAGATGCTTTTACCATCAGGAATGGGAGGGAGGCTGGACAGGCAAACATCCAGCTGCCCTCTCCCCTTAGAGTCCAATGTGGGAGGGTCTAAGAGCCAAGGAAGAAGGCAGCCAGTTTTTAGATGCAGAATGACCTGAGATGTAAATCCCAGCTTTTCACTTTCCGGCTACATGCAGGAGGGCAGGTGACACTTCCAGACCCCAGCCTCTGTTTTCTGGATGGCAAACGAGAACAGTGGCTCCCAGCCCATAGATGAGTAAATATTTGAGATACGGAACACAGAGTGACAGCCCGGAGGCAGGCACACAGTAGGGGCAATGCTAAGGGGAGTTATCATTGTTATTGATGTTTTGGTGGATGTTCAGCCTTGGGTCAGAGGCTGAGGATTCTGAGAAAAATGCTTCAGACAATGGAGACTTGCCAAGGCCCAGATCTCTGGCCCAGGGCTCGGAGGGTGGCAATGAAAGGGACCGCTCCTCCCTGAGTAAGGATCATATAAGGTGTCATATCTCTTGGGCATGACTCGGGGTCAGCCAAGTGTTGTCCCAACCTGCTGGTGACCTTGGGTTGGTGACCTGCTCTTTCTGAGCTCAGTGTCCACTGAACAAGAGAGCACTGCTCTGGATGACTGCTCAGGCTTCCTCCTCATCTAAGACTACTGTGACTTAACAAGTGTCACCTCCTGAAGTGGCTTACGCCCCCCCCCCCCCCATTCTATAAAGGGATCGAGTAGCCCTCATTGTTGAGTTGAGCTCTGCTCTTTGCAAGGTGCTGTGCTGGGCGTGGGGACTCAGATGACTCTGACTGGGCCCTGAAGTTTGCTAGAGGAATAGACATGGTCATCTAATGAGGGGAGCTCAGTCACTGACTCCCTGTGTGACCCTGGGTAAGTCGCCCCCCTGCTCTGGAGCTCTCTTTTGCCCCATTTGTAAGGGAAAGAGTTAACCATGGGGATAACAGCCCGTGGCCAGGCCCACAGCCCCATCTGGTCCCAAAGAGGTGGTTGGGTAGCCCATCCCCCATACCTCAGCCTCCGAGTCTAGTGACATCATCTCACATCCTCTGTTTCCCTGGCAACTGGGGTGCTGGCTGAGGCTCCCCAGGGGCCCAGGCCGTCTGGATTTCCTTACATATAACTGTACCTTGTCCACATTTTCACAATTAAATTGTCAGTTTGGGTTAAGTGTTGTCTGCTGACAGCTGTCAACCTCTCTCTGGCTCCCCTCACTCTTCACCCAGGGCAGGTAAGTGAGAACATCTTCCCCAGGCCCTCAGTGCTGTGGAAAGAGGCTAGGATGGGAGCGGGAGGCAGGAGATCTAGGTTCCGGCCCAGCTGTGCCATACATTTGCTGTGTGGTCTTGGGCAAGTCACTTGCCCTCTCTGGGCCTAGGTTTCCCCATCTTAAAAATAGGGCTAATCATCTCTGCCCAGCCTCCCTCCTTCCCAAGGTAGCTGCGAGTCTCAGAGGAGCCCGTAACTGTGGCAGGGCTTAAAAACTGCAAAGCTCAGCTTGGATTCCAGGATGGTTCATAAAATGAAAGAGCAGATCTGCAAAGGGATTCCTCTGAGTCCCCACCAGATAAATGGGTAGGGTTAGTTTCCCCTCTGGTCTACCCTGCATCCGGGTCCTGGCCTTAAAGACACAGAGTACAGGTACAGGGCCAGAGGGTCAAGGGCCCTGCTTCCCATGACAAGTGTGCCCATGCTGAGTGGCCAGGCTCTCTCTCCCCATGATGGGCCTAAGCATCCCTGCTCCCACCCCAATTCTCCCCTCTCAGGCTCCCAGGAACTCTCTCTCACCTCCCCTCCTGATTCCACCCACTCCCCCCCCCCCGCCAAGGGCGGCCGGGACTTGGATCCCACACCCGATCTCATCCCCCCCTGCTTCAGACCTCCTCCAGGCTGCCCTTGGCAAAGCGCACGCTGCTTAGCCCAGCACTCAGGGCATGGGCCTGTCTTCCCCAGTCACTGTCCTTCCTGCTGCCCTAGATGCCAGCAGCACCGAGCCCCTGACTCACCCTTCCCTGAAACCAAACTTCTCCCTCTTGTCTTTGCTTAAGCTGCTCCCACTGCTGGGAATGCCCTCCCCCACCCCGGCCACCTGACAATTCCTCCCCCACCTGCACATTATTTATACAGACATGAACGCTAAGTACAAATGAGCTCTCCATCTGGAACTGTTTATGTACCTGGCAGAAAAGGAACTAACCTTTATCAAGGACCGATTACGTGCAGAGCATTTTACATATATCATCTCTTTAAGCCCCACTGTAACCCTGGGCGGTAAATTTCACCACTCCTATTTTCCAGATGAGATAACTGAGGCTCAGAGACAGGAAGTGTCTTATCCAGGGCCGTACAGAGGTGGGATTGGGGTTATACCCTAAACTGTGTGATCCCAGAACGCGTGCTTGTTTGGGGCCCTGGTGGAAACACTTCCTATGGTTACGAGGTGGCCGGCATTCTGTGTACATGGAAATACTTGCTATTAAGGGAGGTTGTGCTGTTTTGCAAATGCCAGGAGCCACTGTGATATACCTAAGGATGTCACATAGAATAGGGGATGCAGGCAGAAGCAGGGCCACCAGAGGGGTCATAGGTCTGTGCTCTAGATGGAGGAGAACCTTCTCCCAGGAAGAGGTTGTCCTGGAGGCAGGGAGCTCCCTTCCCTGGGGGTTTGTATGCAGAGGCCGGGTGAGGACATTCACTCAGTCACCTGGCAACTTTGGAGCACCCACTGTTCGGGGCCTTGACGGAGCCCCCGGGGAGGCAGCGTGGGCGAGATAGAGCCAGTCGCTAACCACATGATGCTCCCTCCCCGTGCCGTGGAGACATTTCTGCTCCAGCAGCCAGAACTTCAGAGATATGACAGGGTGGATGGCCCGACTCGGCGGTTCTGAAATGACCTTAGACAAATGCGTATTTTTAGCTTTTTCACTGTTGAAGCCTAGTTGCTTCAGGCGTCTCTTGCCAGGTAACAAACCATGTGGATTTTTAGTGGCTGAAAGGAACAACTGATGGATTCCCCTGATTCTGTGGGCCAGCTGGGCAGTGCGGCTGCTCTCACGCGGCCGCACTCACTTGACTGGTGGGTCAGCCAGGCCTGGGTTCTGCTGGGATGGCGGGGCCAGCTGGGCCTCTCTCCACGTGGCCTCAGGGCCGCCCTCTGCAGTAGCCCGTATCATTTAGCAGTGCAGCCTGGGCTTCTGACGTGCAGCTGGGCTGGGCCCCAAGGGGGTGGGTGCAGAGGCAGCAAGGGCCCCCGGTGTCTGGGCTCCGGAACATGCACAGCTTCACTTCCGGCACATGCATTGGTCCAAGCAAGCCATGAGGCCAGCCCAGACCAAGGGGTGGGGAAATAAATTTCACCTCTGGATGGAGACACATTTCAAAGGGGTGTGTGTGTCCTGGGATGAAAGGAATTGGTGCCATTAAAAAGCTACCTCGTGGGGCGCCTGGGTGGCTCAGTCGGTTAAGCGTCCGACTTCGGCCAGGTCACGATCTCGCGGTCCGTGAGTTCGAGCCCCACATCGGGCTCTGGGCTGATGGCTCAGAGCCTGGAGCCTGCTTCCCATTCTGTGTCTCCCTCTCTCTCTGCCCCTCCCCCGTTCATGCTCTGTCTCTCTCTGTCGCAAAAATAAATAAACGTTAAAAAAAAAAAAAATTAAAAAAAAAAAAAAGCTACCTCGCTGCCCTTCCCAGAAAGACTTAAGACCAGTGACAAATGACAAATGGCTTATGGGCTGGATGTCAGGAGCCCTGATGTCCCTTGTCTCCTTCACCACATACTGAGTGATGTGAAACCAACTGTCTCCTCTCTCAGACTCAGTTTCTCTCTGTGTGCCGTGGGGGCACGGAGTGTGGTGATCTCTGGCCTTGTGTGTGTGCAAGGTGAGACCCAGGTGCAGAAACAGTGAATTGTACCATATCAGAGAAGCGGAAGCCCAACCATAGAAGAAACTGTCCCAGTGGCTCACTGCTTCTCATTATTCCAAGCTTTGGCTATTGGCCGCTACATAACGGGGGGCGGGAGCGGGGGGGAGGGAAATGAGGCCCATGTGGGCTCAAAGAGAGCGACAAGAAGCACAAACGAGTTTCAGACAGCACTCCCCAAGGCTGCCAGCACCCCAGCACCAGCCCCCAGACCCTGGGGAATACAGCTTTCCCTTCAGGTCACCAGCGACCCCAGTTTCTCCTCCAACTGCCTGAGCCAATCGGTTTTTCTTCTGTTTAAGCTAGCTGGGGTTGGGTTTCTCTCCTGGAGTTGAAAGAGGCCTGAGAAACACAAACATTGTCTTCTAACCAGTCACACCACCACAACTAAACAATCAAGAGTTGAAAGCGGCCTTTCAGAAGTGACGCCCTCAGTAGACCTGACTGGTGGCATTTTATTATGTGCACCCAGGAAAGAAACTTCTCGGCTGTCCCTGCCCCCCATCCCCCCCTCCCACCCCCCACCCCCCCAAGCCTGCTCCCTGAGGCTTGTAAAATAGCAATCGCTCCCTGGAGGTAACTGAAGAAGAGAAGAACAGAACTCTCTCCCAGGCAACTGGCAGAGGCTTGGCCATAGGCCAAGGCAGCCACAGCCTTCGGTTCGCGGCCACCACTCACTGACTGCAAGATCTTGCAAGACTTACCAGACAGGACTGGGGTCAGTGTAAGAGCAGAGCAATGCTGGCCTCGCCCACAGGCACCGAAACTGCTTAGCACACAGCGGGTGCCTGGTCAACTGATAGTACTTCTTTCCTGCAACGTTACCTGCCAGTAAATTCGAAGAGAGGGGTTTAAAGGTGCTCCCATTTTGCAGATGATGAAACCAAGGATCACAGAGGCTGAGAGACTTGACCAGGGTCACGCAGCGGGTAAGTGAAGGGAGGGGGAACCTGAGAGCCAGGCCCAGGTATTCTGATGATATGCCTGCTGCTGTTTGATCACCCTCCCTGTTTGTCTGGAAGATGTAGCCTCAGGGGGCATCCCAGCCCCTGGGTCAGAGGCCAGCTGGGCTGGGTTACTCTGCGCAGACCCTTGTTCACCTGCCTTCCTGGGAAGGCCTTTCTAAAATGCACTCTAGTATTGGGGCATCTGGGTGGCTCAGTCGGTTAAGCGTCCAATTTTGGCTCAGGTCATGATCTCTCCATTGGTGAGTTTGAGCCCCTTATCTGGCTCCACCCTGACAGTACGAAGAACCTGATTGGGATTCTCTCTCTCTCTCCCTCTCTCTATGCCCCTCCCCAACTTGCATGTGCTCTCTCTCTCTCTCAAAATAAATAAACTTAAAAAAATAAATAAAATTTGCCCTAATGCTGGAAACAGGACCCTTTGGTCTCATAGTGTCCACTGTGCTCATGGTTTATCCTGTGCTGCAAGTAAGAATGAAAAGAACCCTAGACTTGGTTTCTGGAGCTGCAAATGTGCTTGGGGGGTTACCTAGTTCAACCCACCCCTCGCAGATGGGGTGACTAGGGCTCAGAAAGGGCAGAACGATTATCTGCTAGCACATAGCAAACTACTGACAGGGCTAAGACCTACACCCAGGTCACCTGTCTCCCCATCCAGGGTTCCCGGAAATAGCTGATTCACCCCAAGGCCTTGGCCCTAAGGGAGGGAAGCTGAGATGGGTGGAGGGATCCATAGAGGCCAGCACAATGAACTGAACTGGAACTCTCCCACCTCCACGTCCTTTCAGTCTGGGTGCCCCCCTGAATAGGCTGTGTGCAGGGGTGGGGGATGGAAAGGTGTGTCCCCCTAACCAATGCAGGCAGTCAGGCAGGGGCTGAGAAGCCGGCGGACAGGAAGCCCCCAGCACGTCTGGGCGATCAGATAACCAGAGTCACCGGGGGTAATTGAGGAGAAGGAAAATATATTAACATCTACAGCGGCAGCAGCCAAGAGCATGCCCGCCCAGCCTAGATTAGAGCCTCCCCCCTGTCCCCCTGAAGAGGAGCTTGCAGCCCAGCCGGCCAGCACAGCCTTGACACACAGCAGCCCTTGAGGAGCCCCTGGACAGAAGGAAGGAAGGAGGAGAAAAAAGAAAGGGGGGAGGTCGTTTTGTCCTAAAGATGAAAAATGTTTTTTTCTCACGTGTCTCTGAGAATCCCAAAATGCCTGAGGTGATCAACTATTCAGCTTACACAAATGGGGAGCCTGGTGTCCAGGGAGGGGCTGACCCCTGCCCCAGGCCTCGCTTGACTCAGAATCCAGGGTTTTGTCACCACTTCATGCTTTCCCTCACCTCCCAGGGCAGGGTTTTGAGCCCTTAGCTAATGCCTGGGTCTTAATTCACAAAGACAGAGCTGAGTATCAGGGAGGAGACAGGAGGGCTCAGGGCTGGGCTTCAGGAATTCTGGGATCTTCTCCTGGCTTCCCTCAACTCCTCTCACAGTGGAAAGTCACTATCTTCCCATCTGATTTAATGGGGGCCATAAGCTATAGTGCACACAGAGCCAGAAAGATCTGGGTTCAGAGAGCAGCCCTGACACTTGCCAGCCCCACACTTTTGAGCCTCAGCTTCCATATCTATGAAAGGGGGATACTAATCCCATCTTGGAGAATATAGAAGATTTGATGGGATTGCATTATACCCGTTTATGGATGAGGAAACTAACACACGAGAGTTTAAGCAATTCGCTCAAGCAGTGTGATACTGCTAAAAGTGAAATTGGGTAAAATCAATATTGGAGCCTAAGTCGGTATGACTCCAAAGGGTTTTCTGTTTCTACTCTAGCCGGGAGCCAGAAGGAGACTTCTGGATGAAGTGCTGCTTATGCAAATGTTGGCAGGCAACTCATTCAGCCTCTCTCGAAGCAGAAAGTTAGACCCAGAGGTGGGTGCATCCAATTGGACCCAGGCCACCTGGAATGGCTCCCACTGTGGTGGCCAGGGTGCCTTGCCGTGGAAGAGCTAAGGACACTCTTGACCCCTGGATGCCTCTGTCTCCAGCCTCTTAGGTGGAGTGGCCTTGACCCTCCCCTGCCCTTTCTAGACACCCCACCCAAAGCCCCACCACCTTTCTGCAGCTTTTATAACCCCTAGTCTCCCACAGTTTTTACTGACCCTGATGCTCTAGGAGAGGAGACTGGGTGTCCCAGCACGTGTTCACAAGGACATGCCTATGACTCTATGCAGGAGTGCATGGAAGCACATCTCTGTGCATGAACTTGGTGGGGGCACAGGGTTTGGCCTCATCTTGCAGATGGATATGGCCATGTCACTTGTGTGTGCTCCTGAATGTGTGTGGGCCTATGGTGGGTGCAAGTATCTCCTGACTGTGTTCTGACCATTTGTGGGGTGATGTGTCCCAGCCCTGTGTGCAAGGGGGAATGGCTGTCCACGTGCAGAGAGTATTCTGTATGGCCGAGAACCTGCAGTGGGCTCCGTGGGCCCAGAGGTGTGTATGTATATGGAGGTATACATACCTGCAGGCAGGCTAGGGCAGCTTATGGGCGCCACTTCATGGGCAGCTGCAAAGAACGGGGGGAATGGTGTTTTAGGGACCTGAGGCAAACCCCTCTTCACTAAGTCTATGCTTCCCTTCTGCTAATGAACTTGATTATCCTTGAGATTATGCTTGGGACTGAGGCCCCCAGGGTGGGGGCAGACAGAAGCCATGGCAACCTGAAGTTGCCCAGCGAGTTAGAAATGGGAGGGGGGGGGGTGTACCATCAGCCAGAAAGGCCAAGGTGTGTGTGGGGAGAGGGATGGACACTCACCTCACCAGTCTTGGGACAGTTGCCTCAGAAACACAACCGGAGCCGCAGCCCAGGTCTATGCTGGGCAGGGAGCAAACTCTGTAGTTCTTTCTAGTTTCTAAAACCCAGTTCTCAGCCGGTAGCTCCGTGGGGACAGGAGGCAAGGTGTCCAGAAAACTCCCCAACGGTCATCCCAGAGGCTGGAACGCCTGCTTTCTGGTGCCTAACGTTTACAGCGCGCTTCACAGAGCAGGGCGCCCTCTCTTCCTTTCTCCGCGGAGAGCTCAGAATGGCTGATCCCTTTTCCAGAAGTGGAATCAGAGGACTCGAGAAATAACCCCCTCAAAGGACTTACTGGGACGCCAACGCAGCTCTCCGGAGCTGGGACGTATTGGGTCGCCTAAAGCACCCGAGCTGCACCCCCCCCCCCCCCCCCCCGGGATGTCCGCCAGGCTCCCGGCCGAGACTTAAGTGGGACTTCTCCTTGAGCGGTGGCTTCCTCCTCCGTCAAACCAGACTGGTTGAGGTGCCTCGCTCGGCTGGCTGCGAGGGTTAGAAACCTGTCCTACCCGGGCCCCACGCGCCGCAGGTCCGCCGTAGGCTCGCAGCAGGCACGCTTATTAAACACCGGTTACAGTTAGTTAAGTGCCCCCCCTTTGTAACTCGACAGGGCGCGAAGTCCTCTGCGCCGCTGGCGCCGCGGGTCCGTGGCGTCCGTGGGGACCCCGCCCCCGCCCCCCGCGCGCGGCAGGAGCCACCCTGTGGGGTTTCGGCGCGCTGACGTGGGCGGATCAAAGCTACTGCCCGCGCCTTATAAAGCAGTTGGGGCGGACCGCGCCGGAGA